TACAATAGGTAGAAGGACAGTGTGGGTTTTAATTTATTGAGCACCTCTATATCTTAGTATTATCTCCTCAGATCTCCATAGTAACCCCACAAGATGGGTGTCACCCTAGTCAGTGACTTGCCCAAAGTCACACAGCTACTTGAAGGGGAGGGTGGGGCCTGGGGAAAGTGTCTGGGCCTGGTGGGTGTGGCCTGGGGGTGACAAAAGGGGAGAGAGGGAGAAGGTCCCAGGGCTACCTTGCCCTTGGGGATCTTGGGCCACTCAGCCCTGCCCCTCAACCACACAGGCCCCTTTCTGCTCTCCCCTGGGCCTGGACCACTTTTCCCAGCTCTTCTTAAACCTCCACCAGGTCTCCGCTGAGCTCACCTCCTCAGGGGGGCCCTCCCTGACCACCCTGGCTCCACCCTTCCCTTTACTTACTCATTTTCAGGGCCCTTCTGTCATCAGAGTGTTTACTTCTTGCCTCTGTCCCCCACTCGGCAAGAGTCGGCTGCATGCAGCCAGAGCCTTGCTGTCTGGGTCACCGCTGTGTGTCCGGGGTCCAGAACAGCGTCAGAGATGTAGCAGGGGTTCAGGAACCTGGTAGAGGGAATGCGGGACCTGCCCTCACAGCCCCCTTTCTGTGTCCTTCCTCCAGGCCTCCAGCCCAGCTCTCAGCTTCCACCCACACCTCTTCCCAGTGAGAAAGGAAGAAGCCCCCTAACCCTCATAGCCAGGCCTTCCCGTTCTCCTGTTGGGCATTCGCCGCCTTCCAGAACACTGGCCTCAGACAAGGTCACTCTGAGGCACAACAATCCTGTCATAGTTTCGTCTGAGCACAGATGAAAGCAGGGTCACCGTGCCACCCCCTGAGTACCAGGCATACCCCCTCTTGCCAAACGAGGGGCTGCTTCCCCCAGGTGTGCACTCTCCCTCCTGCATCGAACAGTAACCCCACTTGTCCACCTGCAGGTGCGTTCCCACTGGTCTCTGGCTGGGGATGTTGACACCAGAGGGAGATGATACCTGGGTTTTTCTGGATTCGAATCCAGGTCTCCTGATCTTGATCTTTAACTAGCTGTTTTCCTTTTAGGACCTACGTTACCTTATTTCTATAATGAGGCCACTGGTGAGAGCCATTCGATGGGCCTATCCCTGATGGATGGGAGGCAGTATCCAGTCTAAGGAGCCCTGTGTGGGTTAGGTGCCTTTGTCATTAATGTCCCCATTTACAGACGAGGAAACTGAGGCCTGGAGGAGAAGTCCCACGGCTGAGGCTCCATCTCAGGGCACTCTTCCAAGTTCCCGCCCACGTCTTGGGCTTTCCTGCTCGCGCACCATTCGCTCTGTGTGCTGGGACTCAGCTCAGTCCTGCCTCTTCAGCTTAGAGGAGCAACTGGGTCTGTTCTGGGATCAAGTTTGCTGCGTGGGGACACGCTCTCCACGTACACTTACTTAGAAATGCTTTGGCACCTCTGGACTTAAACTCCAAACACGTGGGTTTGTATGATTACTCTCACTTCCTGGTGTAGAAACAGGCTCAGAGGAGGCAGCTCACGTGCCCAGGGACACACAGCAGGACTGGGACTTGAACTTGGATTTTGTACCCCAAGGCTGTCTCGCCCCCCAGTTCTATAGTTGCTCTGGATTTCAGGATTCCGGGCCAGCCCAGGCTCCCCTGTTGGAGTCTGGGTCTGTGGTCTTTGCTGACCTGCCACCTCTCTCCCCGCCCTTGCATCCAGGCTTCGGTGGAAACATGCCTCCTCCCTGAAGGTGGCCAACGAGCCCGTCTTGGCGTTCACCAAGGGCAGCCCCGAGCGAGATGCGCTGCAGAAGGTAAGGTGCAGGGTGTGGAGAGAGAGCCTCAGCAGCCTAAGGTGCTTCTCTGTGCTGTGGCCATCACCCTCCTGCCCCTGCTCCCAGCCCCAGGGTCTGGGGAGGGCTGTGTGTCTGGAGCCTGGGAGAGGCTGGGCGCAGCGTGGCCATTTGGTCCTCAGTGCCGGTCAGGAGTCATACGCTCACAGAACTTCAAAATGCTCTCCCATTGCTAGTATTTTAAAACTGTGAGATTCCACAGAAATTTGAGGTGCAGTTTTTGAATCTTTTTTTTAATGGGAAAACCTGTCAATACTGACCTCTCCTTCCTGCATGACAGGAAGTGACCGAGGAGGGACTGCATCCCGTCCCCCCAGGGAGCACACACTCTCTGGCCACAGCCCCGCCGGCCGCCTCCTTGGTTCTGGTCCTCCGGGCATTGCATTAGCAGACTCCACGTCGGGTTCTGGGTGGGAGAAGGGGAAGGAAGTGCCCATCTGACATCTTGTCCTCTCCTCAGGCCTTGAAGGACCTGAAGGGCCGGACCGAAGCCATCCCGTGCGTGGTGGGGGATGAGGAGGTGTGGACCTCAAACGTGCAGTACCAGGTGTCGGTGAGTCCAGTGGGCGGGCAGCCCTTGGAGAGGGGCAGTCAGTGTACAGGGCACCTCCCTCCTGGGCAGTGACCTCACTCCTCTCTTCTTCCAGCCCTTTAACCACGGACACAAGGTGGCCAAGTTTTGCTATGCAGACAAGGTGAGTCCCTGGCAACTTTGGGGTTGGGGTGCTGCCCCTCTTTTGTCCTGCTGGCTTCATTCTTGGAGGTGGACATCAGGCACTGCTTCCCTCTGGCCGTGGGGGGTGGGGGTGTAGATGAGACAGCTGGGAGTGGGAGTCCCTGGGTGGGTGCCTCTAACAGGGCCAGGCCAGCCAGGGTTAGCTGGAGCCTAGTGGGAGCTGCCTTGATCAGGGCTGGACACCCCTGGACAAGCTGTGGCCATGGGGCAGACCCTGACGTGGGGCGAGTGGGGGTGGTGGATTCTGGAAGGCTGGGTCAGGGAAATTGGAGACATCATGGATGGTAAGTCAGACGGCATTGGCATCATCATGGAGGGCCATCGAGGGGATGGGGTCACCTGGGCTGGGGGTCTAGGAGCGAGCATCCTGTGGCAGTGAGTGCAGGTGGCATTGGGGATGCCGGCAGCAGGTGTACGTCTCAGGCTGTGGCTCTGGCCTGGTCAGGGCAAGACCAAGGGCCCTGACCTTGAGGGCTGGTGGCTCTGGATGGTGGGTTCAGGGGCCCCGGACCCCAGGCCCCAGGATTAAGGTGAGGCCCTGAGGAGGCCACAGGAGAACGTGGTTTAACAACTGAGGGACTCAGTGCCAGGTGCCTGGCATGCGGACCCAGCTGGCAGCTCAGACTTCTCCAGACTGGCAGCGCCTGGGGTGGCCTGTGGCAGGGGGACACAGTAGACACTGGGGAGGGGACGCTGAGGGCCCAGGGAGCAGGGTCTTCCCCGGGTGGAGCATGACCTCCAGACCTCTCCTCCCTCGCTCATTCCCCTGGGACCCTTCCCGCCACAAAAGAAGCCCCCGGCCTTGTCCTCTTCCACAGGCCCTGCTCAACAAAGCCATTGAGGCCGCCTTGGCCGCCAGGAAGGAGTGGGACCTGAAGCCCGTCACAGACCGGGCCCAGATCTTCCTGAAGGCAGCAGACATGCTGAGCGGGCCGCGCAGGGCAGAGGTCCTTGCCAAGACCATGGTGGGACAGGTGAGGCTGCGGCACAGGTGGGGGGCGGGGGGGGGGGAGCAGTTGTACCCTATTTGATTTGGTACTTGTCAGCCGAGCAGTTTCTGGATGCCTAGACCTGCTCTGCTGGCTGGAGACTCAGAGCTGTCCTCAAGGGTCAAGGCCTAGGAGAGGGGACACGCAGAATGTTAGACAAGGTGGACTGTGCTAAACCTGCGTGTCCGGCCACGGAAATGCCCCTTCCCCGCCTTCTCTGTCCCCACCCTAGCAGGCCTTTGTCGTGCTTTGCCTGGCGTGACAGTCGCCCTATGCAGTCCCCTAGGCTCGGTGGGACCCGGCACCCTCAGGTTTTCCCGACACCCCAGCAGGCTGCTCCGGCTTACAAACCACCGAGGTCTACCAGCGAGAGGCACATCCCAGATCCCGAGCCCAGCCCCCAGGGCCCTGCAGTTCCCACCTCTCTCCAGCTCGCCAGCTGCTGCCCTTCCTGCCGTCCCCTGTGATGATGCCAGTCTGGACCTGGTGACATTCCTGGACACCATAGGCGTCCCATATCCCTGCCTCTGCCTGGTGTCTCCTCCCTGAGTGCTCGCTCTCTTCTGTGCCCCGTGAACTCTTACCCATCAAGGGCCAGCCCAGATATCACCTCCACTGTGAGGCTTCCAGAACCTTCTCTGCCCAAAAGGATCAGCCTGCCCCCTAGCACGCTGTTCATTTGTCAGTTACAGCTCAGTTCGCATTGGGGTGGAATGACTTCCTATGTGTCTGTTGCCCCTTTACAAGCTTTTCGGGAACAGTAATCAAGTGTTAATGTTCTCCCACTTTTTGGGCCTTGCATCGTGTCTTCCTGGATAAAGGTTTTCTGAGTGCATTTGAGCCAGAGAGTGGCTGAGGGGGGAGAAAGCGTTAATTTCACCCATGGTCCCCAGGAAGGAGCCTTTAGGGGTTGGTCAGCCCAGCGCTCCTCCTGCAGTGACAGCTCCCCCTGCTGCACAGACGCGGTATGACAGCTCCACACCCTGCCAGGTGTCTGATTGTCTTAGGATGTCACACTCCTAGGTGAGCCACACCTGGGCAGGAAGAGACACACAGATTCAAGTGCCTCTTGATGTGAAGACTCAGGAAGTTGTAAGAAGCGCAGTGGCCGAGCAGAGCAGGGGGCAGTGTCTTAGCTCAGCTTCCTTGGCACCATGTCCGAGCAGGGCGAGCAGCTGCCAGTGACCCTGTGTGCCAAGGTGGGAAAGGCCCATTTTTGCTGCCCACAGTCCTTTCCCCACGGCTCACATTCACCATCAGGAAGGACAGACAGTCTAAGGAAATGTTTGCAGTCACAGGCCGCCTGGTTCTAGGCCCAGCTCGCCTAGCGAGGGCACGTACTTACCCCGGGGCAGGAGTCACCGTGGGCACAGGGTCCCACGTCAGGGCCAACGGAGGCAGGTCTGCCACTGCTGACCCCCTGGCCTTCCCGCCTCGCAGGGTAAGACAGTGATCCAAGCGGAGATCGACGCGGCAGCCGAGCTGATCGACTTCTTCCGATTCAACGCCAAGTTTGCCGTGGAGCTGGAGGGGGAGCAGCCCATCAGCGTGCCGCCCAGCACCAACAGCGTGGTGTACCGGGGGCTGGAGGTACCACCGGTGCAGGGTGCGCGGGGGCTCCTGGAAACCTTGAGCTTGGCCTCACCACCTCCTCTGTCTCCAGGGCTTTGTGGCGGCCATCTCCCCTTTTAACTTCACTGCGATTGGCGGCAACCTGGCGGGGGCGCCGGCCTTGATGGTAAGATATGGGCCGCGGGCAGGGGTGGCGGGAGCTCAGCATCATTCCCGTCTCAACAGAGGGAAGGCCGCACTCGAGCCCCTGAGGTCCCAGCCCTAGTCATGGCGAAGCACAGAGGGTGGAGTGAGTGTGGGGCCGTGGAGAGGCTTTGGGGTCAGAGGTGGTTTGGGTCCCGCCTTGCCCTGCTCGAGGTGACCCCCGTTAGGCCTCCACTCTGCTCGGAGGCAGTTTCCTCGTCTGCAAAGTGGAAGTAATAGGAAAGCCTGTGTACAGGGTTGTGAGGAGCAAATGAGACGGCCACGTGACACGCCGAACGCCAGGCAGGTCTGGCCCTGTGCAGGCTAGTCTATGGTGACGGTTAGTGATGGTGATAGTTGTAGCTCACCTTTGAGTGCTTGCTATGTGCTGGTGACTTAGTTGTCATGGTCGTATGGCTACTTGTTTTGTTTTTTTATCCTCACCCAAGGAAATATTTTCCATTTGTTTTTTATAGAGAGTAGAAGGGAAGGAGGAGGGGGAGAGAGAGAGAAACATCGATGTGAATGCGATACATTGATTGTTTGCTTCCCACATGCACCCTGACCAGGGCCAGGGATCGAATCCACAACCCTTTAGTCCACAGGCCAACATTCTAACCACTGAGCCAAACTCCACTTAGTTTTTTAAAAAGTGTTTTTATTGATTTTTAGAGAGAGAGGAAGGGAGAGGCATAGATAGAAACATCAATGAGAGAAACATTATCGATCGGCTGCCTCCTGCACGCCCCCCTCTGGGGATTGAGCCCGCAACCCAGGCATGTGCCCTGACTGGGAATCGAGCCAGTGACCTCTTGGTTCCCGGGTCAGTGCGCAACCACTGAGCCACACCAGTCAGGGCTCCACTTAGTTTTAAAGGGTGCAGCTGACCATCATCCTCATGAGCTTCCAGTCCGATGGGGCAGACGTGGCCCTGCCTTCGGTGGGCCTGGGTGTCTGGGAGTCGCAGGAAGAGGGCTGACAGTGGTCGGGGGCCTGGGCCCAGGCAGGAAGGCTGGGTGAGCTGGAGGACGCTCACGCACAAGGCCGTCCCCGTGCCTCTGCCCACGGACAGACGCGCACACGCCCAGACGCCCACGTGCCCTCCCCAGGACACGTGCAGAGAGAGCCTTGTGCGCACTTGCTCAGCCACACCTGTGAGCACCCAGCAACTCAGAAACACCCAAAACAGAGCTGCCCGAGGGTGCAGGCAGGGCCAGCCCGTGCAGGCTTCTGGAGGAAGGGCGCCTCGGCTGGTGTGGTGGTGTTGGCGAGGGCTGTTAGCGCACAGTGCCTGGCACCTGGAGGTGTGGTCGGGTAGGGGACATCCAGGCCTGCACAGGGGGCCTGCTGCACAGGGAGGGATGACCATGCTTCAGGGTGGGTGGGGTCAGGGCTGGGCCCCTGGCCTTCTGCCTTCTGTGTCATCATGTGCCTTCCGAGCAGGGCAATGTGGTCCTTTGGAAGCCCAGCGACACGGCCATGCTGGCCAGCTACGCCGTCTACCGCATCCTCCGCGAGGCTGGCCTGCCCCCCAACATCATCCAGTTTGTGCCAGCTGACGGGCCCACATTTGGGGACACGATTACCAGCTCAGAGCACCTGTGTGGCATCAACTTCACGGGCAGCGTGCCGTAAGTGGGGCGGGGGGGGGGGGGGGAGTTGGGGAGGCAGGGTGCTTTAGGGAGGCTCGCCTTGCACCTCTGTCCCGAGCTGGGCTGTGAGGAGCGAATGGCGTGTGACACGGTCTGCCGCTGACCGGACTCACTTGCTGTGCTGCTGTTGGGGGGCCACTTCCCCTCTCTGAGCCTCCGTGTCTTCACTGCCCTAGTGATGGCTCCGCACGCACGTCGCTCTACATGGGACAGGACGACAGGGCCTGAACCCGGGTGGAGACCTGGGAATGAGCAGCGGGCAGATTCGATCGCCTGTCCGGGGGGTCGGGGTGGGAGTCAGCGGGAACGTCCAGGCTCAGGGCAGGAGGCCTCGTTCACAAGGTGACACCTGGCAGGCCCTGCAGCGGGAGGGTGGGACAGAGATGACTCACATGTTGGCTACTTCGAGTTTGGGGTGCCCACGGATCACCGGGTCAGCACGGGGGTCCTCCCGGGTGTCACTGGGACCCCGGCGGTGGCTTCTCTCTGCTGGCCTCCGGCTCCCCCACCCGCATCCCTCCGGGGTGTGCTGGGTGGCATGGCGTTAGAATTGCTGAGGAGGGCCGTTTCCAAAGGCCTGCTCTGCCAGCACAGCCCCGCGGGGCCCTGCCTGTTAGCGGGCGGAGCAGGCTTGGCCCCCATTTGCCATGCTCTGATGAGCAGAGGCTCAAAGGTGGGAAAGTCATAAATTAGTATTAGCTACTGTGTCGCTGGCTCCCTGGTGATTAGCATTTTTATTGTTTTGCGGTGCTGAGGTTGGTCACACTCGGAGCCCAGGGAGGAGGCGCCCAGGGAGGAGGCGGGGGCCTACGCTTCCTCTCCCAGGATCCTCCTCAGTTTGGCCCCTGGAGCCCCATGCAGATAGTGACAGTGTCTGTCCCCCACCGGCACCTAGTGTGCCCGGCACTGTCCTAACACTGGACTCATTGCAGTGAACAGCCCCGCCGTGGGATTGTTCCCTCCAGTTCCCAGGTGAGGCACAGGAGTTGAGGCTCAGAGAGGTTAAGTAATGAGCGGAAGGTCACACAGCCATGGTGTCTGAGTCAGAGCTTGAACCCAGTACTTCCTCCCCACTCCCTGGTCTTCTCTGCACCATCTTGCCACCAGGCTCCCCTTGCTGCCTCCCCATAGGCCTGGGTGCTGCCCATTTCCAGCTGCCACCACCTACTGGGTCCCCCACCACCTCTGCTGGGACCCCTGCTCGCCTCCTGGGCTGTTGACCCTGGCGTTCCTCACTTGACTTTTCGGCCGCTTCTGGTGGGACCTGTGCCCCACCCCCCACGACCTTCACCCTCAGATACCCGAGCTGGCTCCCTAATCCCCACCCTGTCCTCTGATTTCAGCACCTTTAAAAACCTGTGGAAGCAGGTAGCCCAGAACCTGGATCGCTATCGCACCTTCCCACGCCTGGCTGGAGGTAAGGGCCCCTCTCCCTGCCCCCTCCCCGGTGGCTCCAGGGACCCCTTCCTTTCCTGGCCATCATGAAAGAGGAGGAGAGGATGCAGCCATAGGTAGGGTCGTGCTGCAGGAACTGAGCCCTGGGGGGCCTTAGGTACAGAACCTTGCTTTGGCAGGCACTGGGGGTGTGCAGAGCACCTGTGCCTCAGGATGCATTTTTCTTTCATTCATTCATTCATTTATGCCTCATTCATTCAGCAATTTAAGTACCATGAGTAGGGAAGGAGCCCTGGCATTGACATGGGTGGACCCCCCTCCTCTTGCTGGGTTGGGGGGTTAGGGAAAAGCTGTGCCACTTCTGGGGGCCTAGGATTCTGCTATTTCCTCTGTCATTGTATTGGGCAGCACCCTGGCCCTGGCCTCAGTTATTTCATCTGTATAATGGGGGAGTTGTTCCTGATGACCCCTGATGCCCTTCACCCTTGGGCATCAGTTTTTTCATCTGTAGAGTGGGAGAATAGGCCTGGCTCATTGGTTTCTGGGATGCTGTCCAGCTCTCACTCTGTGCCTCCCCTGCTCTCATCCGCCTGGTATGGGGGGGCTGATCACAGGGCCCCGTGGACAGGTGTAGGCAGTGTGGTGGGCCCCTGAGCTGGCCGGAGGAGCCTGCTCCTTCATTCGTTCCCCACCCCGGCCCCTGTAGAGTGCGGTGGGAAGAACTTCCACTTTGTGCACCGCTCCGCGGACGTGGACAGCGTGGTGAGCGGGACCCTGCGCTCGGCCTTCGAGTACAGCGGCCAGAAGTGCTCAGCCTGCTCCCGCCTCTACGTGCCTCACTCGCTGTGGCCTCAGATCAAACAGCGGCTGCTGGAGGAGCACGGCAGGATCAAAGTGGGCGACGTGAGTGCTGCCTCCATCCCTGCTCGGCCCGCCGGCGGCTGATGGGATTGGAGGGTCCCGTGGGTGGGGCTGGTGTGCGGGAGGGGCCTTCCCTTGTCGGACCGTGGCAGCTCAGTCTCTTCTGGTGTCTCCCCTGCCTGCAGCCTGCAGAAGACTTCGGGACCTTCTTCTCTGCAGTGATTGATGCCAAGGTGCGGGCTGGAATCCAGTTGTTCCTGGGGGGCTGAGGCTGGACGGGGTGGGAGAGGGAGGAAGAGATATCGGGGCCTCCATGGGGGACAGCCCCGCCCACTGCTTCCAGGAAGGCAGGCAGATTGCCACCCTGCCTCCAGCTTGGTAAAGGGCAGAATCCTCCAACCAGAGAACTCGCCTCCTGCACACCCTGTAGCCAAGCTCAGCAAGCCCCTGTAAGTGCATATGCATACGCAGAGATACAATTAGGCCTGCACACCTGTGTGCAAAACCTAATTGTACACGCATGAACACGTTCATGTATAGGCATGTGTGTCAGCTTTCCACAGAAATGCATACACATTCATACATGCATATCTCCATACAAGAACAAATCTGCCCATGTGTGCATGTAAAGATATTCATGTACATGTTTGTGTTTAGAGGCACATGTGTAGGTCTACATGGATAAACATGTGCATGTTATAGGCATACATATAGGGGTGGGCAAAAGTAGGTTTATAATTGTAATGTAAGTAATACAATAATAAATCGATAATACAAGAATAAACTGATTCACGTACTCACAATTGTAAACCTACTATTGCCCATTGTGTGTATCTACATGCTTTAACAAAGCAACATGGCCATGCATATGCCCGAATACATGTATGTCATGTGTGTTTGGTTATATTTATATGTGAATATATACCTGTAGTTCTAACACACACACACACAAGCATGCATGTCTGCCCTTGTCTCTGCCACGGCTCGTCCAGACACTCAGGGCCCTCCCTCCTTCATTTCAGAATTCGGGTCCTTCTGGAACAGGTGTATTGGGGTGAGTGTACCGCAGGGCTGCTGCTGGGAATGGTCCCCTAGCCGGTCTTTGACACCCTTCCTCCCCGCCCCCTGCAGTCCTTCGGTCGCATCAAGAAGTGGCTGGATCACGCCCGCTCCTCGCCCAGCCTCACTGTCCTGGCGGGCGGCAAGTGTGACGACTCCGTGGGCTACTTCGTGGAGCCCTGCATTGTGGAGAGCAAGGACCCTCAGGAGCCCATCATGAAGGAGGTGACTGGGCGGGTGGCTGGGAGCACGGGAGGACAGCCTCCCACTCAGCACCGGACACACACAGGGCCCTGGCCCGTGGTCGTCTTCTCGGGGCGTATCCCAATTCCAGTTGAGGAAAGGGAGGCCCTAGACAGCGAATATCACACCCGGTGAGAGCAGAGCCAGGCCTTGAGCCAGGCCTCCTGACCCAAACCCAGTGCTGGCCCTGCCACCCTGGCCATTGTCGGAGCACTTCCATTGCTCACGCCCCCGCAGCAATCTTCTCAGCTGACATTGACCTGCTCACCTGTGGCCGGCCACAGCTGGCCCTTGATTGAAGTGAGGGCTGTATTATCAGTCCCATTTTACAGATGAGAAACTGAGGCCCCAGGAGATCAAGACACCTTGGTGGCAGCGGGGACAGTATATTGTTGGGCAGTTCCTGGACCAGCTGTTGCCAGAAGCCTACTGTTTCCATGGCTTGGGCCCGTGCCTCTACGGGTGTGGGTTTGGCTGGCGGGGGCCCAGAAAGTGTCCTTGGACCTTTTGCCATGGTGGGATGGGGTGGACAGGGCAGGAGCTGGGCACGGTTCTGTCCCGGAGGGAATCCGGAGAGACACTGCTTACGTCAGGCCCTTCTTGCAGGGGCTGAGGTGTGGACTGGGGCCTGGGGACCGGGACTGAGAATAGAGGCAGAGGCCAGAGCAGGCTGGGAAGCCTCAGGGCGCTGGTTCAGGCTGACGCTGACCTTGGACTTCTCTCATTTCTCTCCCAGGAGATCTTCGGGCCTGTGCTGACCGTGTACGTCTACCCAGATGACAAGTACAGGGAGACACTGCGGCTGGTGGACAGCACTACCAGCTACGGCCTCACGGGGGCAGTGTTCGCCCAGGATAAGTGAGTGGCCACAGCCCCTCTGCTCTAGGCCTGGTGTCCTGTCCACACCCTGGACACTGCCCTCCTGGACATGGGTCTTAGTAATAATGCCGCCCCTTGCTTTCTGTCCACTCCCCTCACCTCAGCCCTGGCTGGCAGGCAGGCCTCCCAAGCGCAGATGCCCAGAGGCAGCCTGGCTCTTTGTTAAAGTGCAAGTTCTGGGGCCCCACTATCGAATCTGGATCTAGGGTGGGCCTGGGAGTGGGAGCTTCTGCCCAGCTCCCCGAGTCTGAGGGGGCCCTGCTCCTCCAGGTCATCGTCTCAGCTGCAGAGTGGGACACGGGCTCAGGCCAGGGTGCACTGCTCACCTTGCAGAGGCAGGATTTGAACCTTTGCTTTTCCCTCCTCCGTGGCTCCCCTTGTCTGCCACTAAGAGAGGGGATGGAGGTGGGAGTGGAACCTGAGGGGCAGGCTGGGGGCTTAGGGGTCCCCCAGTTCCCGAGGGGCAGGAAAATTGGACCAGGATGGGCCACTCCCTTGAGTGTGTGCTGCCTGACCCACACCCTCAGTCCTTGCAGGAGCCCCACGAGGGGACGTGAAACCCCCTTTGCAGAGGGGAAGCTGAGGCTCAGACCCTGAGTCACCTGCCCAAGGGCCCACAGCTGGTGGCTGGCCCAGCACGGCCCCAGGCTGGGCCTAGTGCTCACGGGATAGCCAGCCTGGGCTGGGGCTGGAGGCTGGACCTGGGCTGGAGCCGTGGGTGAGCTGGCTGCCCTGCCTTGTAGGGACGTTGTCCGGGAGGCCACCGAGATGCTGAGGAACGCTGCCGGCAACTTCTACATCAACGACAAGTCCACTGGCTCGGTGGTGGGCCAGCAGCCCTTTGGGGGGGCCCGAGCCTCTGGTGAGTGGGTCCCTGTTTCCAGGGGGGAGCCAAGTTTCTATGGGAGACTCGAGAGCCTTCATTCCAAGGGTGTTAAGAGTAATAAGAACAGCACTGTACTCACCCCGAGTCCTTTCAGCAACCTCGTGAGCCAGGGTGCTAAATTCTCCCCATTTTACAGAGGAGGAAACTGAGGCACGGGGTGGTGAAGTGACTCGCTCAAGGGCACATGGCTAGGAAGTGGTGGAGCTGGCATTGGACCCAGCTCCCGCAGCCTGTACCACCATGGCCCAGGTCACTTTGGTCAAACTCCCTCCTACTTATAAGTGGGGAAACTGAGGCTCAGATTGGGTTGGTGACTTTCTCGGATCCCAGCTGCCTAGTGGCAGAGCTGGTGCTCTCCACAGTGCCCCCTCTGCCTCCGAGACACCCCGGGCAGGTGGGACACATGGACCCCAGGAGTGCCAGCATCCTGTCCACTCCCAGTCCCGGCCCTACCCCCGCCTCCCGCTAACGGTGCTCCTCACAGGTGCGCTTAGGAAACGCCCCTGTGCGCACATTTTGTTTTAGTTTAAATGCCGGTGCCCCATTCATTCCATCAGCTCCTCCCCTCGCCTTTCCCTCCTACCCAGAGCTGTTGCGTCTTTTTCCCACAGGAACCAATGACAAGCCCGGGGGACCCCACTACATCCTGCGGTGGACGTCGCCCCAGGTCATCAAGGAGACCCACAAACCTCTGGGGGACTGGCGCTACTCGTACATGCAGTGAGCCCCTTGGCGCCTCCGCCGTCCACCTGTCTGTCCGTCCAGGTGACTGACCTCGGTGCACTGGGCCTACCCAGCCCCTCCACCCTGCTCCCCAGGGGGCAGCCCCTTTTCTAGAGCCAAGGGCTGGCCCCGAGCCCCCCACTGGCCCGTATCCTGGCCTGTCTCGCATCTCGGGGTCAGGCGCCCAGCCCTGGTTTGATCCTGCTGAGAAGGGACAGGCGTGCTGCCCCTCATCCCATCGGCCGTCCTAGGAATTACCTTGCAGAGGGTGACCTTGGTGCCGGCTGGCTCGCCATCTTTTCTCCTCTTGCTTCTGCACTGTGGCCCAGTGGTGTCGCAGGGGTGGGGAACGTCTGGCTCGAGGGCCATATAAGGCCCAGAAAATCGTTTGGTCTGGCCCTGCCAAGGCATTAGGGGTGAGTTAATTAAATGTTTGACCGAATATAGCAGCTGATTTTTAAGTTGATAATATTGTCTGGCCCACGAATGATGTTATAAATATCCAAATGGCCCTTGGCAGAAAAAAGGCTCCCCACCCCTGGCTTAGGGACTTGGGGAATGACAGTGGGGCAGCTCCCAATCCCTTGAGGGAACGGAGGCAGCTCTGGGCCCCTTGGCAACCTCATTACCCACAGGGCTCCTGGCCTTGGCCCTGGCGTCTCCAGGGCTGCAGGAGTGGGTGTGACCAGGGCGGTCTGCAGGGTGCCAGGGCACTAGCTGACCTTGCCCTCTTTGGTCTGGGTCATCCTCCTTTCACACTAGCTCTTTGCCCAACCACAGGAGCCAGTGGGTACCCGTGCCTGACCTTAAGCCTTAGATGCCCATGTGCCTTTCTCCAGGGCTCCTGCCTGCCCGTGTGATTCCTGACCGTCTCCATGTGGTGAGGCTGGGGGGCCGTTGGAGGCCACCTGCCAAGATGTGGGACATGCTGGTCCTTCCTGTTGGGGCTGGGATTTTGGAAACTGTGGATGGGCCCAGCCTCCAGGACGGCCACCCTCAGCTGCATTGGCCTGGTTTCCCTGCGGGAGCTCAGTTCCCACTGGCTGTGGTAGCACAGGCCCAAGTAGACGTTGCTCCCACTATCCCAGCCCCCTGAGACCTCCCCTGGGTCCCCGTCCTGCCAGGACCTGGGGTTGCCCGTAGAATCTTCTTCCTTTGCATGCGAGTGGCTTTGCGTGGACTGGCCCTCGGGGGGCCTGTTCTTTGTTTGATGCAGCCAATCGGTGGACTCTCTAGGACAGTGGTCGGCAAACTGCGGCTCTCGAGCCACATGCGACTCTTTGGCCCCTTGAGTGTGGACACGAAGTTTCAATTGCACTGTACGTGCGTGCCTGCACGTGATATTTTGTGGAAGAGCCACACTCAAGGGGCCGCAGTTTGCCGCCACTGCTCTAGGACAACTAGGTTGGGTTCTGAGTGGCCAGGGATCTGTAAGGGGTGACTTTGGAGAGCAGTTTTTATGGAGCCGTAAAAGTGCTGGGCCCTCCTCAAGGACAACTGTCAGGGGCTCCCCACAGGGTAGGGTGGCCATTGTCCAAGTGCCGATGCCGCCTGGCAGGGTGCGGGTTCTGCACCGTTTCCCACAAGGCACCAGATCAGGAGGCTGGGTGGGTGGGGTGGAGATGTTCCTGGTTCTGCTGGCTCTACACTGTGAGGTGCCATGGGACTCGCCCTGACGTCACCCCAATAAAATACCTGTGACTTAATCAAATCGGTCTTTCTGGTTGGGGTGGGGGACAGCTCTCTGGCCTTCTGTCTCTCCACCTGTAAGAAGGGAAAAGTAATATATGTGATATGTATGCCCACACAGGTTGTCATGAGAATTAAATGAGTTAATTGATGTAAGTGTTTAGAACAACGCCAGACACAGAATTCATGGTTCGCCAATGTTGCCCATTTACCCATTGTTGTAACAGCCACTGCTATGTGCTGTGATAAGTTTACATGCCTGGATATTTTAGCTAAACGTTACTCTAGATGTTTCTGTGAAGGTGTTCTTGGATGAGATTAACATTTAAATCAGTGGACTTTGAGAAAGCAGATTACCCTCCATAATGTGGGTGGGCCTCATCCAATCAGTTGAAGGCCTTAACAGAAAAAGACCGACCTCCCTTGAACAAGAAGGAATTCTGCCAGGAGACTGCCTGTGGCCTCAACCGCAGCTCCTCCCGGGTCTCCGGGCTGCCAGCCTACTGGCAGAATTTGGATTTCCTGACCCCACAATCTTGTGAGCCATTTCCTT